GATCTCTGTCTTTCTCCAAGAGCTCCTCAGCAGCTGTAGAGATCCATGGTGCAGTGGCTTCTCACTCAAATTCAGCGCTCACCTTAAAAAACAGAATGACAGAATGAGTTTTTTGATACACTGTAAAATATTTGACCCTTACTTAAAAGTAAATTACAGATTAATAATTGTACTACTTTCACAATAAGCCATTGTGATTTGTTTTTACACTAAATTACTGTAAAATTACAGCTATATGTGACTTCAAGGTAGAGAGTAAGGCCCATTTCTTTGATTTCATATATTGTTTTGTAGAATTAACTATATTTTACAGTGAAGATACAATTAATGGCAATTTAGTTAATGTGATTTAACATTATGTTGTAGCTGAAGTACTTTACTGTAACATGTATATCTTGCTTGCAACCTAGACAGTAATCAGTCTGGTTAATGTGTCTCCTCTGCCCCTTTGACACTATACAATAAGTTCTAATTAGTAAATTTTGTCAGACATAATTTTTATTTTGGTTCTATAATGAGGGTCATAATGAAGTGAAGGCCAGTGCTTACCTTGCTTACTTTATTCCTCAGTGCTCACTTAACCTCTGTGGTCAATTTAACTCAATGATGTGCTGAAATACAACACAGTTAACACTAAGTTAACAAAAAATTACCATTTTAAAGCGCAAAGTGTGTAATACCTTAAAATTAGCATTAACGTTAGAAACACCTTCTGGTAACTTCGTTATAACATGGCGTTCTCAAACTGTCAGTTAATGAAAAACGTGACAAAAGAAGCTAAAGTTACTTGGTGAATTACATTCTATACACAAATATATAACAATCATTTACTTAACAGAGTTAGACATTTCAACACTTACCGATAAATTCATTTGGATGAGACCACGACGAGTTCACAATGCAGGCTTTCTTTTGCGTTGTCTGGTGAAGCGAGTCGGTGTTGTTTGCGAGTCGAGGGACTCGGTTCGGTTCAAGGAATTGGCTCCCTTATGTGAGTTGTAAGAGTCGGATCCCATTCAAAACTAATTGCCTTTTTGTACAGTATATTAACGTAAGATAACATGATTGATTAGCATTTCGTTATAACTTAATAAGCCACAGGTATTTACGCTAAGTACACTAATTACACATTGATATGAAGCTTTTGAGCACGTGCTATAAAAGGATCCCTGATCTCCGAGCAAACAACAGTCCAAAACAGTTCAATCCATTTAAATCTCACACAAGTACTGAAAAGTACCAAAATAATAATAAAGTATTGCACTAAATATACCATAAAATAAAGTTTTAACGGTTGTTCATGCAAGAATGTAGTTGTTTAAAACTCAAATTTGCGATTTTTCTTTTTTTTTTTTTTTTTAGAAAGATGGTTTGTATATTAAAATGTCATTTGACAATTGCGGACATGTCCACTTCCAAGAGCCGCCAAGAGCAGCGTTTGCTCGGCTAACTGACTTGTACCCTTAGCTAATTTGAAAATGCTAGTTTTAATCACGTTGGATTTAATTATTATTTTCTCTCTTTAAAATGATTCAATAATAATAGCTAAATTCTTATGATAAAATTGATTAGATTTTATTACAGACATTTTTTATTAATATTAAAGCAAAAAAATGCCCTAAAATCAGTAAATTAATTTTATTAAATAAAGTGAACATATTAATTTTATTGAAATCTACAAGACCACAGAATGACTTTTTACAGTGTGAGTAGTTTTAGGGTCATAGGATCTTGGAGGTATTCGGCCACTGGCTCCCATTCTGTCCCCATTTGTGACTTTTTACATACCAAAGCAAATGCAAATGATAATGTTTCACATATAATTGATAATAATAATAATAATGCTCACAAGAATGACTAATAATGCCACAGGTATGGGGTAGAAATAAATTATATAGTTATATAATAATAATTAATCCAAATTTCATAAACACAAAATGAATTCCTCATCATTACACACGTGTAAACACTGAATTATGATTCATTCCTTTATTGGCTTGTTAAGTTCATTTTATCTCATCATTGAAATTCAGTGGAATTTCAGTAACGTTCTAATTTGTGAAACTCTATATTGTTCTAAGACCTCTGCTGTATATATAGGTTAGAGAACGGTCATATAATAAGAATATTTAATAAAATAAGTTTATTTACTTCACTAATTCCATTCAAGAGGTAAAATTTGTATAATGTATACAGTTATTCTACACAGAATGATATATTTCAAGTATTTATTTAGAGTAGGGGTTTAACCCCAGCATTCTGGCCAAATCTGCCCACTGGCCTCTGTCCATCATGGCCTCCTAAAGGCTGATTTATACTTCTGCGTCAAACGCACATGTATGCTACGCGTTGATGCATAGCCCTTCGCCGTGGCCGTTGGCGTCACTAACGTGCACCTCTCAAAAAATGTAACTACACGTCGAAACAACGCATAGCGCAAGCTCTGTGATTGGTCAGCTTGGTAGCGCTGATGAGTCTGGGCGGGACCGAGAGCCGCGCAAATGGCGCAAGCCAAATGGAGCGATTGTTTACAAGTGTGGAGTCCCATGAAAGAGCTCCGGATGGAAAGTTTTGTTTTGTGTTTAACTCATAGTTGAAGCTGTTGTACGTCCGCCGGTTCCTGCCTCAAAATGAACGAGTTTGAGCCACTTGTACATCCAGGAAGTGTTCAGGAAAAGCAAAACAGCAGCGAAGAAACTCAACACAGAGGAACATTTACACCCTACTGCCAACTAGCATTTCGGAAGTGTTAAAGTAGACCAACAGAGACGCAAAAGTATAAATGCACAGCTACGGGCGTTGCATACGCCGTGGGTTACACCGGTCACTTGTAGCAGAAGTATAAACCAGGCTTAACCCTCCCCATATCATAGTTGGCTTCATCACTCTGTCTCCTCTCCACCAATCAGCTGGTGTGTGGTGTGCGGTCTGGTGCAAAATGGCTGCCGTTGCGTCTTCCAGGTGGATGCTGCACACTGGCGGTGGATGAGGATTCCTCCCCTTGTTATTATTATTTATTTAAATGTTTATGACAGCTATTGAAAACCCTAAATTCAATATCTCAGATGAGTAGAATACACCTGGAGCCACACTCTAAATCAGCTTAAAACACCTGCAAAGGCCTTTTAATGGTCTCTCAGTCTAGTTCTGTAGGCCAGTGGTCGCCATCTCCAGGCGGTCTGTGGATCAATTTGTCCTGGGCCGCACAAGAAATCATTAATTGTTTTCATTTTATTTATTTGCTTAGTATAAACATTTTTTTTTTTTTGAAAAAAAAAATAATAATAAAATTTAAAATGAGAAATGCATTCTCTCTGAGCAATGCGCTTGTGTCTTCAAGAATGCCACAAGTGTATTGGGAGTCACGTGACAAGAGCTGACCTAATGGCTTCATATTTTGTAGGGAATATACACATTTCGCAATAGTATAGACAAATTTTTGTGTTTTTTAATTTTCTCCATAAATAAAACTTATATGCAAGATTTTTTATCAGCTTATCATCTTCTGAGAAAACGGTCCCCGACCCGAACCCCAACTGTCATTTTTGCATTTCCTTTGGAAATCAGGGTTCCAGAATCTGGAGAAGGAGCAGAGAGGCACACAACTTGTGTTGCTTGAGCTCCAGTGTAAAGTTTCCACAATCAGTGATGGTGTTGCTCCACTGTGTTTTCTGAGGTCCAAGGTCTAGTGCAGCTCTATACCAGAATGTTTTAGAGCACTTCCAGCTTCCTGCTGCTGATCAACTTTATGGAGATACAGATTTAATTCTCCAACAGGATTTGGCACCTGCACTCAGTGCTAAAGCTACTAGTTCCTAGTTTAAGTACCATGGTATCCGTTTTCTTAATTAGCTAGTAAACTTGCATGACCTTAACCTTAAAATGACCTTAGGAAAGATGCGATATGACAGACCCAACAATGCAGAAGACCTGAAAGACACTATCAGAGCAACCTGGGCTCAACAACTGAGCAATGCCACTGACTGATCGACTCGATGCTGCGCCACATTGCTGCTATAAGTCAGGCAAAAGGAGCCCTAACTGAGTATTGAGTGCTTGTGCATGCTCATACTTTTCATGTTCATACTTTTCAGTTGGCCAAGTTTTTTTTAATTCTTGCTTTGTATTAAGTGAGATACTGGATGTTTTTAATTTTTTAGTTGTCATCAAAACCATCCAATTTAAAAGAAATAAACAAAATAAATATAATGAAATATAAAACAAACTGTGTGGAATGTATGTATATATATCCAAGTGTTTACAAGTTTCATTTTTTTTTAATAGAATTAGTGAAATAAGTCAACTTTTTTGAAAATATTCTAATTATTTGACCAGCACCTGTAAATTAACTTTTTATCTTTATTTACTCATTCATTCTCCACTTCTTCAAAGAATGCATTTAGAGCCTTTTAGGAAATTAGAAGCCATTGTGAAAGTCAGTGACTACCATTTAGAATAACTTTTTTTGTGTTCTGCTGAAAAAATGAAGAATAAAAGGAAACATAAATGTTTAAAATGACCTTAGGGTGTGTAACAGTGAGCACATTTTAATTTAGGCTAAACTATCCTCTTAAGTCTTAAATTAAAAGTTAAATAGATAGTAATGGCATGCATTCGCATGTGTGGTGTCTGTACTACATTGTCCAGTTATCCTCTTCTCGTTGTTTAACACATCCCACCCTTCGTGTCCCTCTCTTTCCTCTTAATGCTCTAGTGGTTTCCAAGGGAGACACAAGGGCCCTCAGTGTCCTCTTAATAACCACCACAAACCTTCGTGTCACAAACACACGTTGCCCAAAACCCTGCACATTCGCATCCCCAATTTCAGCTACCCAGTTTGTTTGTGCCCAAGAACACAAAAGCAACCCCCCTTGTGCCACATCCAAACACAACACTTTGCGCATGTCTTTTGTGATGTGTGTTCACCAGAGGGCTGATGACGGTAGAAGGAGAAGAGTCTTATAACATATCATGCTATCTCTGACTGTTTTCTAAACTAGGTGTCAATTCACAACAGGCTTCAGACGTTCCAGCTCAATGCTGCACCGCTGAGCCCTGAGAATGCTGCCCATCTCAACCACCAGAGGGAGCCCATCCAACAGCCACCATTGCAACGTGCCAGTCCCACAACCTCGTACTCTTACCACCCTGTGGCCCTGACTGAGCTACGACCTGACACCCTCATCCAGTGCCAGCAAATTGTCAAGGTCATCGTCCTAGACAAAGGTGGTCACGGGCACGTGGAGGCATTCCTTAGCCAGAGTCCCACACATCACCAGCTCATCCAGTCTGTTGTTACTACACCAGTGCATTCACCTGATGATGGAGACAGCCATGGGGGGAATGATGGCTCACAACCTCCGTTGCCTCCACCACCGCCACCATATAACCATCCCCACCAGTATATACCCCCAGATCCTCGAATTTCACTGCAGAGGACCCCAAGTGGCTCTCATAGCCTAATGTAGAGTCTAAACCCACAACAATTAGACACTCTTATATGCATATATTTATGGTTACAGACTTTATTGACTGCAGAAATGTGAAAATACCATTTTAACTAATGTATATTTTGAAATGTTGCATAGTTTTAACAAATTTCTATAACTATGTTTTTGTCTTTCTCTCCACTCTCTGAGATTATATTGTTGAGTACTTGTCATTGATAGATTTTTTGTTTTTGTTTTGTTTTATTAAAGAAACCAAGCAAATTTAGTTTGATTGCTTAAACACTAGCTTTTGTGTGGGAGATAGTTTTAAATGTTAAATACATTTTTTGCCTTTTATTAGTTTATTAATGTGTCTATCTATTTAGTTTGACTGTAAAAAGATATATGTGCCAAACTGAGGACCCCTTTCACAGTGGATTTTGCACTGTTGAATGCTTAGGCTAGAACAAATGTGTGCTTATAACAGAGATCATTTAGATTCCCACTAGGTACACACATGTCTTTTTAAAAAAATATATAGGTTTAAGTGCTACCATAAGCCAAAAACTTCTTCACTTGCTTTCTATGTCTGATGTTGTAATCCTGTAAAATGTGATTTACTTCTTTATCATCTGTCTTTGTAAATGCCTTTTAAGTAACCCCTTTAACTGATAAAAGTATGTAAATTAAGAATGTAGAATGTTTTAAGAATCTTTCAAACGACTTCTCAACATTTCCCAACATGACTGTCAAAACTAATATGATTTCAACATTCATATTATGTGCAGCTGGTATTTTAAAATATTTTGAATACTTAGCAATCAATTGATATGACATATCATCATGAGAGCAGCCATTAGATGGAGATGTTGTACCAAACAGCTATTCAATGTGTACCTTTGTATTAGGGTGAAATGCAGTTAGTTGTCATCAAAATCATATATTTGCATGTGCTGTGTTTTTTTTTTCAAAATGTTCAAACCATGATTCCAACAGATCACACTGCAATCTGCTTTGTTTCATTAGTGCAGCATTTTTGCACTAAAGTTTCTAAAACATTTTTTGCTGAATTAGTGAAAAATCTGTAGCAATGCACATGATATGAATTTTACATTTTCATATGATTTTTTGAACCCTAGTGATATTTCTATTTATTTTGTACGTATTTTTTTAAAACATTCACGTTTTTTGTTGTTGTTGTTTGTTTGTTTGTTTTTGTGCGTTTTGTCATGTAAGATTTTATGAATTCAAATGATTTATTCATTAAATTACAACTGATTGAGTTAATTGACAATTGTAAATTTGACTTTCTGTGATGTAGCAGTGCAATCAACATGACCTTTGATAAACATTAGAAAAAAACTATTTCCTTGGGTTACTACATTTGTGATTCACTATCTACTTTATAAAATTGCATCAGCACACAGAAAGCTGTATTAAAGCCCTTATATGATAAACGTAAAATGACTTTTACTGTGTGGTAATGTGCCACAACCCTATTTGCATTGGCTATAGTTTTCATGGTCAGGAATTTCAGAGAATACCTGAAAGAAGGCCCATATTTTATTATTGTAGGTCTATTTGAACTTTATAGTAAATTGGAACATACCTTTATCTAAAAAGGCCTGTTGATCCCAGCATTCATCTTGGACATGTTGTTTGTCTGCCATTTTGTGAAAAGATGACAGAATGTGGTATAACTTGCTGTTGTGACAAAAATCAGACAATGTAACATGCTAACAGAGAATGTAACACTTAATTGAAGCTTTCAGGAATGAAATGACACTTAAAACATCAATGAAATGCTCGTTGTTGGCACAAAACACTTTACCTGAATGTTTGTCTGTTCTGGTCTGATTTTATCAGCTGGATGGGAAAACTGATCAATGGTTTATATTTTTTTCCTGTATGTAACAATCACCACATAAAACAGCAATGAATAATCACCAGCGTGATTTACCCACAACCAAGTATTTCTCCTAGGTACTCATTCATTCAGTCTTAATCCATTTAATAATCGGGGGTCACCAAAGCAGAATGAACCGCCAACTTATCCAGAACATGTTTTACGCAGCGGATGCCCTTCCAGCTGCAACCCATCCCTGGGAAGCACAATCATACACTACGGACAATTTAGCCTACCCAATTTACCTGTACTGCATATCTTTGGACTGTGGGGGAAACCGGAGCACCCGAAGAAAACCCACACCAACGCAGGAAGAACTCCACACAGCAAACTTTACACAGAAATGCCAACTGACCCAGCCGAGGCTCAAACCAGCGACCTTCTTGCTGTGAGGCGACAGTACTACCTACTGCGCCACCACGTTGCTGCTAGGTAATCAATAGCTTTTAAAGTCATTATGATACAAAATCCTGCAATGTCATCATTTGTAAATGATAACTTTATAAAAAATAACTTTGTAGCAATTTTCACCCACACCTAAATTACAGCCTTCGTGGATTGATCTGAGAAAAAGTAAGTCGTTTCAGACCCACAAAAGCCAGAAATATATGTTAATTAAATTTAATGTTGAATTTAAGCTGTGACAGTACGTTCAGACCGAAAGTGGCGAGAGCGTCAAAGTAGCCGGAAGTCATTAATTTTCAATGGGAGCAGGCGTCGATAAGTGGCGAGGAGCAGCGTGGCTTGTCTTCGCCAGTGTGAGCGGCGAGGAGAGTTGAAATCAAGTCAACTTTATGGTAATGAGCTATGACGCGATTTGGCTGCAAGCAATCAAAATGTAGAAGTCCACCGCATGAGGGGATTCCAGAGAACACAGTCTAGTCAACTTTGGTTCTGACCACAGTTGTTTACAAGGGTTTGATTATTGCGGTCCCAGATTTTCAATTTTTTTTTTCTTATAGAAACATACATTAAAAAGTTACTGATGTGCATTAATGTCATTCTTTTTTTTTCTTTAAAAGAGTGGGAATTTTGTATGACAACAGTATTGCTGCTTCAGGATATTTCAGACATATGGACACATAATGAATAAGTGGAGCAAAGCCACACCACATGCAACTCATTCTTTCATTGTTAAATGAATTTTATAAAAAGTGTGCAACATTTTCACGCTAGAAAGCAAGATTTATGCAGAAATTTAACTGAGATGATATGCTGCAACGACCTCTTTAGACACGAGATCAATGTAGCGAATTTTGATGCTCTTATCGCCAGAGCTGAAGGCAAACAGCATTGTCGCCAGGGTGGCCAGAGTGACCTTTGACTCTCACCCCCTTCAGTGTATACGTACAGTAATACTGTATGTGTAATTGTAACATGAATATTATGTAGTACGTAGTGTGTCATATGATTGGGTGATTGTTTCATAATTATATTGCTGCTTTTTCGAGATCTGTCTGATCATCAATTAACATTTTGTTTATTGTGTTTATTTCAATATAGTGATGACTTGTGACTACAAAGTTCACATGTATTGATGGGTTTTCTGCACAACCTAGATGTCATCAAACTGTTTTCTATATCTTTTCCAAAAACTAGGTCTGTCTTTATTCTGTGCTAATACTTCTATTTCTCACACATCTAAAAGAAGAATTCATTCAAAAAAGTTTCTGTCTCTTCAATTCAAATCTCATTATTGTTGAAATTTTATGATAGAAAATTGTGACATTGTTACACAATTGGTTAACACTTTTTAATAACTACACACTATAAATCGTTTATTAAGCATTAGCAAATAGTGAATTCATTATCTGTTAAGCATTAACTCTACATTAATGTGCATTAGTAAGCAGTTTATAACTGCAGCTACAAATGCTCTAATCTTGTCTTAGAAACGTATTTAAAATGTGCTTAATAGTTGTATTTTCATACTTTGTTAATGATTTATTTTTCATTACTAAATTAAGTATTGCATTATTTACAAACCATTTGTATTTAAGAGTAGTTGAGGGTTTTTAGGATCAGTCAGAATGAGTTAGTAAATGATTAATAAACTATTGAAATCAACATTTATATATCTTATTATTCAGGCATATATTAATGGTTACTATGTATGTTAATAAATGCTTTATCAACTCAACTTCATGCAGTTTTGTGACCTAATCTAAAATGAGGACTCTTTATGCTTTATAAATCCTTTATAAATGCAAAATTAAATAAAAAATAATAAAAGCAAAGTTTGTTAAAATGTTATATGTGTGACAAAATTTGCTCAATTTATGCATATTGATAAATAATAATAATATTAATATAATATTCTGTGAGGCAAAACAAAAACAATCCAACACGGTTATAAAATGGCTTATTGACTAGTCTAACATATAACAAACAAACATACAAAACATAAAAACAAAAACACAGCAAGGAAATAAAGAGTAAAAATGAAGTATGGCAAATCTCACTCAATTACTGATATTAAAAAGTTGGGGATTGTCACGGTCGTGGAAATCACACCAAGTGGGAGGGTTGCAAACAATGGTGATGGTAATGGTTGCGGAAATATTAGCATAGGGAGTTCACATACTGAAGACATACTGAGGGGGGAGAGCCTTATCACTACACCACTGACAACAATACCAAACTTGACACTTTATACACACATTAAGCAGGACCTATGCATTTATACATTTGTTAACATCATAAGAGGTCTATTGATGCATGCATACAATATTTTATTTACTATTGGACAGAACATATAGATTGCAAACAAACACAGCTCCAACTTCATGTCTTGTGTACGTATATGTCTTATGTGTTTGTTTTATTTCCATTGGCGACTCCTAGAGGCAATTATGTTAAATTGCACCCTACAAAGTATTGCACAAACATGTGAAAAACATTGCTATTAATATATCATTGATAAAATAGGTTAATTGACACAATTATTATTATTATTATTATTATTATTTACTAATTATGTGATTTAGAACATATAAAAGCATTTGCAAATGTATACAATATTGTGGAAAGGTGGTCTTGGTCAACCCATGATTCATTAATCCTCACAAATGCGAGATGAATGGCTTCTTGCACTGATAAAAATGATTCTGAGCGTTTGTAAATATTATGAGGTTTAATTAGTGAATAACATGAATAAATGTAGTTTAGAATTCATCAGGGTTTGTTCAAAACACTGTCACGTCACATAAAAGATGAGGAACCCAATTTCAAGCAAAACAAAAAGTCTTTTAATATTGTTCTCACAAACAGACAGGAAAATGGTGAGTGGCTGGAGGCACTGAACAGGTGAATAATAATAGTGGTGGTCTGGTTCGGCAGCACTGATCAAATGTTTATAATACTCATCAACAGAGCAGATAAACATTTATCATAGAAGAAACCGGGATGTCTCAGATGTAACTCATCAACAGAGCGGATCACACATTCATCATGAAGAAACAGGAAGCATCAGAGTGCAACATGGAATACAACCAGACCACTTACCACCAGCGAAGAGAGGAGCCTGACAAAACACAAAGAACCGTGAGCAAACAACGAACTGGTGTGTGCAGATTAATTGCCGTATGAAAAACGGGCTTTAATTTGGATACATGAAATACGGGATGAATTCTCCTGTACGCTGGAGGTAATTTGAGGCAGATTGCCACTGGACTAATGATTTTAGTGACAATAAAAGGGGCAATAAATTTAGGAGCTAACTTATTGCAAATGGTGCGGAGAGGAATGTTTTTAGAAGAAAGCCACACTTTTTGACCGACAACGTAAACGGGAGGCTTAGACCGGTGGCGATCGGCTTTAGCCTTGGTGCGCGTCCCCACTCGGAGGAGGGTCTGTCTGGCCCTGTTCCAAGTGCGACGGCACCTCTGGACAAAGGCGTGAACAGGGAACCGTGACTTCGGATTCCAGACTGGGAAAAACTGGTGGCTGGTAACCTAGACTACACTGAAACGGAGAAAGGCCCGTGGACGACACTGGTAACGAATTATGTGCGTACTCCACCCACGAAAGTTGCTGACTCCAAGAGGAGGGATTCTGCGAGACCAAACATCGCAATGTGCGCTCAAGATCCTGATTGGCTCTCTCGGTCTGGCCGTTACTCTGAGGATGAAAACCAGAAGAAAGATTAACAGTGGCC